TCCAGCCTGGGCAACATAGCAAGACCCTGTCCACTTCTCATTATAAACTTTGGGGTAGGAAAGAATGACATATAACATATTTTAACATATATTAATTCACCTACTAATCCACTAACTATGGGCTTTCAATGTATGAAGACTCATATTTTAAAATATCTTATACATATTGCATTTATAAATTATATTAAAGTGTAACACCCAATGGAGGAGTTTTAAAAATGGAGAAAATAAACAATGTGTTCTGGTTTGAAAGGTTTTGAAAAAATATATAGTAAACCAAATTAGCTCTATGACTGGAGGTTAGTATCATAGAAAATTGCTGATTTACCTAAGCAGTAAATGAAGTGGTTAAAAATGCAGGCTTTAGGAAACCAGTATTTGAATTCTGGCTTTCCTGTCTCCTACAGGTCTGACTCTGGCAAGTTACTCAGCACCTCTAAGTCTCTGTTTCATTATCTGTAATGGGGAGTACTTAAGTCTGCGTTTGATACAGGCTTGCTTTGAAGTTTAAATAGGAGACATAAGAACAGACGCTTTTCAAAAGAAGGTATACATAGAGCCAATAATCATGAAAAATAGCTGAACATCACTAATCATTAGAGAAATGCAAATCAAACTACAATGAGATTCCATCTCACACCAACCAATCAGATGGCAATTACTAAAAAGTCAAAAAAATAACAGATGCTGGCACGGTTGCAGAGAAAAAGGAATGCTTATACCCTGTTGGTGGGGATGTAAATTAGTTCAACCATTGTGGAAGACAGTGTGGCAATTGCTCAAAGACCTAAAGATAGAAATGCCAGTCAACCCAGCAATCCCCTTCCTGGGTATATGCCCAGAAGAATATAAATTTTTCTTTTATAAAGACACATGCACATGTATGTTCACTGCAGCGCGCTTTACAATAGCAAAGACATGGAATCAACCCAAATGCCCATCAATGGTAGACTGGATAAAGAAAATGTGGTATATGGCCAGGCGCGGTGTTTCATGCTGTAATCCCAGCACTTTGGGAGGTGGAGTCAGGCAGATCACAAGGTCAGGAATTTGAGACCAACCTGGCCAATATGGTGAAGCCCTGTCTCTACTAAAAATACCAAAGTTAGCCGGGTGCGGTGGCAGGCACCTGTAGTCTCAGCTACTTGGGAGGCTGAGACAGGGGAATTGCTTGAACCTGGGAGGCGGAGGCTGCAGTGAGCTGAGATCACGCCACTGCACTCCAGCCTGGGCCACAGGGTGAAACTCCATCTCAAAAAACAATAAAAATAAAAACAAACAAAACAAAACAAAACAAAATATATATATGAAAATGTGGTACATATACACCATGGAATACTATGCAGCCGTAAAAACAAGATCATGTCCTTTGCAGGGACATGAATGGAGCAGGAGGCCATTATCTTTAGCAAACTAATACAGGAACAGAAAACCAAATACTGCATGTTCTCACTTAAGTGGGAGCTAAATGATGAGAACTCATGGACACAGAAGGGAACCCCACACACTGGGACCTATTAGAGGATGGAAGGTGGGAGGAGGGAGAGGATCAGAAAAAATAACTAATGGGTACTAGGTTTAACAGCTGAGTGACAAAATAATCTGTGTAACAAACTCCCATGACACAAGTTTACCTATATGACAAACTTGCACGTGTAAGTGCAAGTTTAAAAACTTAAAAATCAATGTTTAAGAAAAAAATAAAGACACATACTTCACCTGGTGCCTGCATACTATCAGCTCTTCATAAACTGTAGCTGTATTAGTCCTCACTGTTGAACATCTGGGACGTGCTATGGGTGGAGTTGGGAGGATGACCTAAAATGTAATTAAACTAAATAGTCAAACTTCAAAGGGGTCAAATGCTTACAGCAGCCTGTAACAATGTTCTATAAAGTGACCCTGAGGACTCTTGTGACAGCACCTGAGCATTTCCTTGAATCTAACTAGGTGTGTTGGTTTTTACTTGATGCTAACAGGATCTCATGCTATGAGTATTTTGTGACCTCCCAGCTAATTTAAATATTGCTTACTGATCTGGTGTTATGCATCTGTTGTCCAGTACTTCTATCCATGGTCCATTGATTCCACATTCTGCTTCCTGGCACTGAGCTTTTCTCTCATGGACCCTCAGCTTTAAACTGCGGAGTGTTTTTTTTTTTCCATTTGCTAAACTTCAACAGAACTGTCCTTTAGCAACTTTCTAATTTTTTAAATGCTCAGCTTTAGGTATTTTGCACATTTTCAAATGTAATAAGGCAAAGATCCTTGAGAGAGATTCCTCCTCAGCCATTTTAATGACTGTTTCTTTATGCTTAAAGAGGAGTGTTTTATCCAAAGGTTGATTAGTTACCCTGAGAAGAGAATTAGAACCAACTTAAACTACTTTTCCTAAAGGAAACTAATTTACATTCCCTAAGATACACATATGTAGCCCTCATTGGTCACTCCATGTGTGTCAAAAATTTCTGTATTTATAATGGACATGATGTCCCAAGATGCATATTATTTGTAACAACTTTATTGAGATTTTACCTCATAAAATTTACCCATTTCGGGATATAATTCCATGACTCTTAGTAATATTACCAAGTGATGCACCGTCACCATAATCCAGTTTAAGAACATTTTCATCCCTCCAGTGAGATCCCTCAGGTGCATTTATTCTTAATCTTTGTTCCAGCTCCAACTCCAGCTCTAGGCACTCACTATCTACGACCTATCTCTATAAATCTGCCTTTTCTGGGCATTTCATAGAAATGGAATCATACGATATGTAATCTCTTATATCTGTCTTTTATTTCACATCATGTTTTGAGGTTCATTTGAGGTTCACATCATATTTTGAAGTAGCATGTGCCAGTAATTCATTCCTTTTCATTGCTGAATAATATTCTATTGCATGGATATACCACATTTTGTCTATTCCTCTGCCGAACATTTAGATTGTCTCCGCTTTTGACAATTTCGAATAACATTGCTATGAATATTTGCATGCAAGTCTTTGTGTGAACATACGCTTTCCTTTCTCTTGATTATATACCTAGAAGTGAAAGTGATGGATCACATGATAATTCTATATTTAACTTTTTGAGGGACTGGCAAACTGTTTTCCAAAGTAGTTACAGCATTTTATATTCCTACCAGCAATGTAGGAGGGCCCATGTGGTAGACTTAAGAGAAGAGTCTTTCATGTAGCAAGACAAACAAGACTGTAAGCATCTTAAAGATAGGTCAGTGCCTTATACTTTGTAACAATAAACATCTGTTGAATGTTGACTAAGTGACATTCATACTTAAGATTTTGAAAACTTCCCAAATTACATCAAAGATAACTCAGGCTGTGAGACTTGGGTACCTTTTTTTTTTACAATCTCTTAAAATTTTGCATATAATATTTACTGCTTTTTTAAGTGACAGTTGGAACATAATCTTCCCATATGTGATGACATTTTTAAAGCAGTACATGTATAATGTCAAAACTTAAAACAATATAGATACACACAAAATGAAAAATGGAGGCCTTTGTCCTGTAGGATAGGAGTACCCTATAGTTCCTTGTCTCAAAGATAACACTTCCCTAGGTTTTGGTCTTTTTTCTTATGCTATTGTCTTTTTAAGGCCGGAATCAGGTTTTTTGTTGATTTGTTTTCTTTTCTTTAGACTATCCAACTTCAAGTATACCTATAAATGTGTTGAACTTGGTGACATGAAGTACCTCGTGAGATTGTTATGATTAAGTGTGATCACAGAATATCTGCGCACCATAGGAGAGCTCAATAAATGGCAGACATTACTCTCAAATACTATTTTTTACAAGCTTCTTTGCAGAATAGTTATCTACTCATAAAATAAATTCATAGTTTTAGCAGTAGTAGACAAATCCATTAGAATACAATCTTATGGTGATGACCTTGGCAAGGTAGACCCCCAGTGTTAAACAGAAGAATTGTGAGTGAGCCATCCTATCAATTTACTTTCTTAATCTCTTCTGTTCCTCTCTTCTAGTCTAGATGATCCTAGACAGACCCCCTAATTAGATTAAGTAGTGATATCTGGGCCACCCTCTGAACAATTAAATAGAGGGCACAATGACAATGAGACCTGTTTTAAAAGGGAAGAGGCCAAGATGAGAGAAATGGAAATGTGAAGTTGGAGAAAATGAGTAAAGAAATGAGGAAAAATAGAAAAGAGTTAGAAAAAAAGAGACGGGGAAATAATACTGAGTTACGTTGAAAAGAGAAAGAAAAAATTGGCTAATTTACCATTAACCTGCATAATCTTCCTCTTCTGCCCTGGAAGATATTCCTTCTCTTCTTTCTCTGTGCTATTCCATGTCTTGTCTCAGGCAATGAGATGGGTGTTGACATGCCTCTTCTTCCCTAATGGAGACTTTTTTCTGTTTTCTCTTTCGAGACAGGGTCTCATTCTGTCACCCAGGCTGAAATGAAGTGGCATGATCGCAAGCTCACAGCAGTCTCAACCTCTCTGGGCGCAAATCAAGAGATTTATTTTCTTAATCTCTCCAGGTGGTCCTCCCACCTCAGCCTCTGGAGTAGCTGGGACTACAGCCATGCACCACCATGCCTGACTAGTTTTCTTATTTTTTGTAGAGACAGGGTATCACCATGTTACCCAGACTGGTGTTGAACTCTTGGATTCAAGAGATTTGCCCAGGCCGGGCGCTGTGGCTCAAGCCTGTAATCCCAGCACTTTGGGAGGCCGAGGCGGGTGGATCATGAGGTCAAGAGATTGAGACCATCCTGGTCAACATGGTGAAACCCCGTCTCTACTAAAAATACAGAAAAAATTAGCTGGGCATGGTGGTGCGTGCCTGTAATCCCAGCTACTCAGGAAGCTGAGGCAGGAGAATTGCCTGAACCCAGGAGGCGGAGGTTGCGGTGAGCTGAGATCGCGCCATTGCACTCCAGCCTGGGTAACATGAGTGAAACTCCGTCTCAAAAAAAAAAAAAAGAGATTTGCCCACCTCAGCCTCCCAAAGTGCTGGGATTACAGGCATGAGCCACCATGCCCAGTCCTAGTGGAGATGTTGACCTGGGTATACATGTTGGTGTTTTCTTAAAGTCCGTATACATCAGGTGTATGATTATATCCATATCTGTTGTCTTTCACATTATGCCCAGCTTGTGCAGTGAGTTAAAAACTAGGAAGAACCTCGGAAATACAGTATGCTTAATTTTTATGTCATTTATAATAATTAAGGATTATGTGAAAATAGTTATTTTGTGTTCCTACAAATGATTCTGAAACCCTTAGTGTGTGTTGCTGTAAAATGTGTATTGAGAGTTGAATTGCTATATATTGATGGTGATAAAAAACTACAAATTCATCATTACAACTTTTATTATCACTACATTGTTTCTATAATTCATTAGAAAACAACACCTCAATTGATCTATTTAATCCTTAAATATTATGCAGGATGCTCTGTGTAATATACAGTGAGGTCCTTGAAGAGCCTACATTTATTGTTAAGAATATATTTTTTTCCTCTCACTCTCCCTTCCTCCCTTAATAACAAAGTTCCATAGTATATAAAGTTGGACTTGTTTTGATGTGAAGTTGGTAGATTTCTTAGGTGTGTTCTTGATTTGATCAGGATCTTTTCTGAAAATTTTACAAAGAATCACAGCACCTTTTCTCAAATTATAAAATCACAAAATATCAGAATAATAAATGGCATATGAGCTAAGAAAGAAGCAGTATTTGACAGTTAATGATGACCAGAGAGATTTGATTGAGTATTCAACTGACATTTACTAAGTATTTTTATGCCATGGGTACCATGCTAAGTGTCTTGAATATCACCAGGATGAAACACGTAAAGCCTTTGCATAAGGAAAATGGAATAGAGAGGAAAGGAATATTTTGTTTTGAGATTCCGTGTTCTTTCAAAGAAGAAACTAGGTAGCTCCAGAAAATATATCAAAACTAAGACAAGATGAAGTAATATCATTGCTATGTATTAGACACTATTCAAAATGCTTTTACAGATATGCATAGAATAAAGTAGGTACTGTTTTCATCATGTTTTATATATAAGAGAGACACAGTGACTTGCCCAAGTCATAACAGCTGTTAAAATGTTGAAGCCAAAATAGAAAGGCAGGCAGTCTAAACTGAACCAGCCTCCTAAAGTCATTAATTATACAACCTCACTAGATTTAGGAAGGGTAAAGATGCAGAAGACAAAGTACCTCCTATTAAAGTCTATGCATCCCACAGAGTTCTCTTAACTTTTGTATGTGTGTTTTCTAATCATAAAATAAAGGCTGTGCTCCAACCTAGCAGTAGAGAAGTTCTTTTTTATTTATTTTTGTTGTTGTTGTTGTTGAAGCTCTACATCGTAATTGGCACAGCAGTCCTTCATGGATTCCAATTTTTAAAAACCATAGATGGGTCCTTCTTTGCACAAGTACAGAGTGTTTCTATAAAGTGATGTGACTGATGTGTTTTTAAAGCATGTGACTGTTGTGTCTTTAAAAGTAGTCACCAAAGGAACCCAGGAACTTTTCCAACAATGCTGCAATTGCACAAAATCTTTTTGAAATTCTTCTTGCCGTGTTACTTTCAAAGCTTGGAGCCAATTCTTTGAATAGTCATAAGGTTGGCAAACCTTCTTTTGAGAGTGTATTCAGGTTTTAAAAAACAGCCTGAAGTTACTTCAAGCCAAATTTGGTGAATAAGAATAGTTTAAATATCTTTAAATCACTCTGTGGATAAGATCATTTTTTTAATCAAAAACACGATGTGACTATAAAATAATAAGACTGAGTTTCTGGCAGTACTTGATAAATAAATTTCTATACTTCCAAACTACATTTATTACTTTGTAAACTTATTATGAAATAGTAAAATTTTATAGTTATTATTCTGTCCTAAATTCATTTTTCAGTGTTTATAATATACTCAGGTAGGTGTTGGCATGTCATAAGAATTAAAAATTATTTTGAGGATGCAAATGTAACATACAGTAAGTCTCCTTCGTAAATAGTACAGCCTATGCAGCCTAGACAACATAGCAAGACCCTATCTCTACAAAAGATCAAGAAATTAGCCAGGCATGGTGGCACACGCCTGTAGTCCCAGCTGCTCAGGAGGCTGAGGTGGGAGAATTGCTTGAGCCTGGGAAGTCGAGGTTGCAGTGAGGCATGATCACACCACTGCACTCCAGCCTGGGCAACAAAGTGAGACCCTGTCTCTCAAAAAATAGAGAAAGTATAACCTATGATTTATAGAAAACATAATTTTATTAAAATGTCCACAAGCTTAGGCAGTGAAAGTTCAGCTATCACAATCTTCTTATACTAGCTTCTACTCTATTGCACATTATGGTAATTTGTACAGAAATCATATCTTTTCAGACCCTCTCCCCATATTCCAAATGGCCTTTCTTTCACTGTCTACAAGAAACTGCTTTTGATTTTCCCACATGATAATTATCAATTATTAGCATTAAACTTTCCATTTTTGTCTGGCACCTGATAGTTAACCTCTGACAGCTGATTGGTCTGCTCCCTAAGAAGTTCCTGAACATACCTGAAATAAGGACAAGCATGTTTTCCTGTTCTTGCCTTTCGGTTAGAATGGACTCATTAGCACAGCACTGTTACACAACCATTGTATCTAAGATCTGATTTTAACACTGTATTGTTCAGTAACTTTATGTGCTATATCTTCACTCTTCTCTAATCCAAAGTAATTCAGCAAGCACTTACCTAATGCTTACTCTGTGCAGGGAATACAAGGCTAAATGAGGTGTGTGTGATGCCCTTTAAGAGCTCCCAGTCTGGGGACAGAGGAGCAGGATCCATACCCACATAATTAATATCATGTAATAAGAATTCCACAGTAATCAAATGCTGTGAGGACATTTGATTAGGCAATTTGTGTTTCGTGGAGTGAGATAAGTGGTGCTGTTTGAAGTGAAGTTGATGGACAAGGAAGAATGTGCCTTTAACTGAAGGGAGAAAATTACTTCAGGGAGAGGGAAGAACAAGGATAGGATACTTGGAAGTTCAAATACATGTTTCTGATGGGCACTTAGGGGGCTCCTGTAATGTGACAGGCTGGGGCTAGGAGGACTTGCAGGGACAGCAGAAGGGGGAAGGACTTGGAGCCCCCTCTTGCTTTGCCCTCTTCCCTTTTTTTCCAGTTTTGGCTCTACTACTGACTCTTTGCAACTTTAGGGAAGTCATTCTCCTCTTTGGGCTTCAGTTTTCTCCTCTGCAAAGAGAGAGGGCTAAATGACCTGATTTGTTCGATCCCTTCCAACCTGAAGTGTCTTTGAAGAAACTGCCCTACTTCTCTGCACGCTTCTGTAGTTTTTGTATAAAGAATTCTACCAGACTGAACAAGCCAAGGAAAACCTTTTAAATAAGAATAGAATCCATGCTTCTTATGTGGTTTGCCCTCTTTATTTTTTTTTATTTCCTTTTATTTCTTTTCCTAGGTAAGCATATACCTGTTTAAGGCAAGACTGCCACTGGAACATACCTAAACTATCCTCTTGCATGTTTATAGATACATATCAGCATTCACCTTGCATCAGACAACCCGGCTTTGCCACAGTGCCTTCTGGACTGGTCGTAGCAGAGATGCCTAATGGGGTAACATAATTTAAACCATAACACAAATGGAGACCAGATTCATTATCAGTAGAGGTGCAAGCTTCTCTTATATACTTAATGTCTGAAAATAATCAAAGCTTGTTCTTAAATAGAGAATACAATTTTAGGTTAAAAAGCCCTTTTCCTCAGAAATGAAACTGGGGAATACCTAAGAGATACTAGTTTCCCACTTCAACTTAATAATTATACTAGCATTTTAATTTATATTCATTTAAGTACTTATATTTACACAATGAATGAATTTAATGCACACTTTTTGAGGACCTACTATTTTTACACATTATACCGTGTTATAGGATATTAGGATGTATTAGGCATGGACTGTGCCCCTCAAACATTAGGTGCAGTACGGTGACTCACACCTGTAATCTCAGCACTTTGGGAGGCCAAGATGGGAGGATCACTTGAGGCCAGGAGTTTGAGGCCCACCTGGCAACATAGCAAGACCCTGCCTCTACCACAAACAACATAGAAATTAGATGGGTGCAGTGGTACAAGCCTGTAGTCCCAGCTACCTGGAAGCCTGAGGTTTGAGGATCACTGGAGCCCAGGAGTTCAAAGCTGCAGTGAGCTCTGATCATGCCACCTCACTTCAGCCTGAGGGCCCTGTCTCATATTTTTTTTAAAAAAAAAGGATTGTTAGGTCAGGTTCACTATAATTTGAGCAATGTCTTACTATGACATTAACTGTGAATTTTAATCTACTGTGCTGTGTAAAGGTATTTTTAAGAAAACACTGGGGAAGAAACTAGCCCAGCATGGGGATTGAATGAAGGCCTCTTGGAAGAAATGATGATATCTGAGAGAAGTTTTGAAGGAGGAATAGAAGTTAGTTCTCTACTCTGCCAAAAAATAAAAAGACAGAAATCATTCTCACTGGAAAAATTAGCCTAACTCAAGACACAGTGATGTGAAACAGCTAGGTTACTGTCAAGAATTAATATTACTAGAAGGTAAAATGTATAAACTTGAAGGGCAGCACATAAGGGAGGAGCAGGAGGATGGAGGAAGGTCCTAGAGGCCATGTTTCTATGATGAGAAGGAGCTTCGGTTTATCTGTAAAGCACAGGGGCCACTGACAGAGTTTACCCAGGGATATGATATAACCAGGTTTCAGTTTTTTAGAAATAATGCTAGTGGCAGATGAAGACAGATTTGTTGGAGAACAAAGCAGGAGGCAAGAATGAGCTGGCTGTAAAACAATCCAGGTGAGATTATTCTGGTAGGGGAGAGGGGAGAATAAGTTTGAGAAATTTTGAGGAAATAAAATTGGAAGGACCAGGTGATGGAATGGATTCATAGAGCAAGGAAGCCAAAGGGACTTAGTTTGTCTCTTCAGAAAGACTGTGTGGATTATGATGCCATTGCATTATGCCATGGAAGGAGATTTGGGATATTAAAAAATGAGATCCCTTTTTTAAAAGTGGAGGGATAGGGTTTAGAGCTGGAAGATAAATTTGGCAATTGTTGGCCTATAGGTGAGAGTTAAAATCATGACAGTGGATCCAACTTCCCAACAAGCAAAAGAGTAGGAAACCAAAGAGAACCTGGGAATGATTCTGTGTTGGCATGAAGGTCAAAAAAGGAAGAGGCCACAAAGGTGATGGGAAATAAACAGCAAGGCAGAGAATAAAACAAAACAAAAACAACCAAACAAAACAAAACAAAACAGATGAATAGAATCATGAAGAAACAAACAAGGAAAGGAGAATCCCAAAAGATAGTCACTAATGGCAAGTACAACCGAGAGCAGCTACTAAACTGCCCTTAGCATTTGGAAACAGAGAAATCACCAGAGAACATTTCCAAATAAATTTTAGTGGCACGATGGACATGAGGGCCAGACTCTACGGACTGGGTAAATGGGAAATGAGGAAGCAGATATAGCCTGTGTAGACTTTACTGCCATTTCGCATAATCCCTCGGTGTCAATGCCTGGCTTGCATCACGGCTCAGATTGGTGCATCCTGGAATCTTCTTTGTCAATATGGCGTCTCTAACATCCCCATGTCTGCCTGTGATCTTCTGTCCTTCCAGTTCTCATCCCTTGCCGTTCTCACCACCTGTGCTTTTCAGCCTCAGAAAGAAGCATTAGCTCTTGATGTCTCCATGTTCTCCTAGTCCATCGACCCCTTCTGGACTAATTTTTTAGGTAGCTCAGGAAGCTGTGTAGGCTTCCAGAAGCTTGTATGAGAAGTGAAGAAAAGAGAGAAAGGTAAGGAAAGGAGTGAGGTCAATGAAAGGTTTTGTTTTTTAGGTGAGAGAGCCTTGTGAGCCTGTATATAACCTAGGAGAAAGAGCCTGCAGAGAGGGAGACCATGGAGCAGCACACCAATAAGTGATAGAACAAGCCCCAAGGTGTCAGAAATGGGATTGAAC